TAGCAGTAGCAGTAGCAGTAGCAGTAGCAGTAGCAGTAGCAGTAGCAGTAGCAGTCGTAGCAGTCGTAGCAGTCGTAGTAGTAGTAGTAGTAGTAGTAGTAGTAGTAGTACTAGTACTAGTAGTAGTAATAGCAGGAGTGGTAGTAGTTTTTTTTGCCTCCTACATGGCTGAGCGAGTCGCGAAGTAGGGCACAGACGTCTAACTGGCAAATTCGGTTCAGGCGATTCTGTAGCCTGCATGGTTCAGGCAATTCTTTAGCCTGCATGCGTAGTAGTAGTAGTAGTAGTAGTAGTAGTAGTAGTAGTAGTAGTAGTTAGTAGTGGTAGTAGTAATAGTAGCAGTAGCAGTAGTAGTAGTAGTAGTAGTAGTAGTAGTCGTAGTCGTGGTGGTGGTGGTGGTGGTAGTAGTAGTGGTGGTGGTAGTAGTAGTAGTAGTAGTACGAGTAGCAGCAGCAGTCGTCCAGTGTCGTCGTCGTAGTGGTGGTGGTGGTGGTACTGCTAGTAGTAGTCGTCGTCGTAGTAATCGTGGCGGTGCTGGTGAGTGATGCTGGTGGTAGTTTTTCCCTCGCGCATGGCTGAGATCTGTGCTCATAAGCGAGGCTTCTTTGGCACGACGCTTGCCCTAACCTTCTTAGGAGCACATCCAGTTTACTCGTTGTTTGCGGTACTTTGGCGATGTCCTACCAAGTCTTGTTGTCTCACAATCCACTTGTCGACTTTGCAAACTCGAGTTTCGGATTTTGGAAGGCGGGGGGGGTGCACGTGCATTTTACTCGGTATTTTCAATTATCCATTTGTCGACGCTTCAGTGCTTGTGATTATGAACATGATGGTTTCAGCCGGCAGGTCGTTGGTAGAGGGGTGGCTAGTAGTTGTAGCTGTAGTAGTGGTGGTGGTGGTGGTGGTAGTAGTAGTAGTAGGAGTAGGATCAGGAGTAGCAGCAGCAGCAGCAGTAGCAGTGGTAGCAGGAGCGGCAGCAGCAGCAGCAGTAGCAGCAGTCGTTCTCGTCGTAGTGGTTCTTGCAGTACAGTCGTAACAGCAAAGAAGAGCAACAAGGATATCGGTAAAGAATACGTAACAATCACATTCATAAATTCAACAAGCACATCAAGAACCAGGGAGTGGGATGAGGAACCAGTACAGTGTGAGTGTGTTTGCTCGTTTCTCTTGTTGAACTTCCTCGCAAATACGAGTACAGGGTATGGGCTTCAGATCTTCAACATGCCATTAGTTGATCACAGCTGCCGGCATTTGCAAGCATCTGCATGCACGAGCCGCTGCTTAGGACGACAGCCGAGCGTCCATGGAGCATGCATAGATGACAACCTGATGGGCCGCTGCCATAGCGGAGACATGTGTGCCAGTCGATGCAGTATTGTTCTCAGCAGTATTGCTACGGACACTTGGCTGCCAGGTCTGCGAACAAGGCTGGCTTAGTTGTTGCAACTCTGTCACGACGACGCTCTCACAAGACACGGCCAGTGAAGCACTTTCCTGAGGAAGCGACCTCTGTGTCGCCGCAGTTCAGGTAACCTTGGATGCAGATCTGACTTCACAAGCCATAGGCCGTCTCGATTCCTGCCCAAAGAAGTGCTCGCTCCAGCCGCCGAGCAGCAGAAGCCCAGCAGATGAGTGCTGGTGTCTGCGTAGTCCTCCAAGGCCTTGCACTTCTTTGGTGCATCTGCCTGTTCTTGCGTGAAGCTGACCTCAGCCGAGCAAGCAGAGCCCTCAAGTAAAACAGTGCAAGGGGGTAGTTGCAACTTCTTCCAGCAGAACCAGCTGTTGGAAAGAGTGCCAAGAGGCACATGCGTCGGGGTCACGGAGGGACCTGAGCAGCAATGACAGGCTTCAATGCACCAACACGGACGGAAGAACTGTTGAAGTTGAAGCCTTTCGCTTGCACCGTATACTGAAGATGAACGGACACAGAGAAATCAGGTACAACACCTCTTGCAAGCGGTCCCAACTAATTGAAGTCTTGCAGCCAAAGGCTAATGATCGCCGCAACAAGGGCGCAGAGAAGAGACCAAAGTTGCAGCCGTGGCTGGAGAAGCCTCTCCTGCCAAGCAGTGTCTTGCTACCCGCTACCCTTAAGAATTCTGCCCATGCTCTAGCGACTTTAGCGGCACCACACGGCAGTTTCCCTTGGCTCCAAAGCGCACACATGTCAGTCAGGGTTTGCGTGACTTCGAGGTCCACTAAGGCTGTTGCTACGTTCGATGCGAACCTGCCGGTCGATTCACGCTTTCGCGTCGATGGCCATCGAAGCACTAGGCCAAAGAGCCCACACGCGGCTCGATTAAAACTATGACGTCTCCGCACACTCGCCGTCGCTCCATTTGCAGTCATCATTGGCTTTGCAACGTGCCTGGTCCATGACGGAGCACCTCATCTGACAGGCCTCGTCCCCCGTGCTCCAGTGGCATTGACGCAGGCGACCACAAGACGCTTTGGTCTTTGCATCGTCGCAGGAAAGACAGTAGGCGGTGGCACTCTGGAGCCTCTCGCCTGTTCGCGGGAATATTTCGTCGCGTGGTGCGACTTCGCAAACCTGATCTTTGTCGCAGTCCTTGTCGTTGCAAGGGTCGACGCACGTCTGCTTGCCATGCTTCACCCGGCAGTCCTCCTTGGGGCCACATTTGTCGTAGATTCGCCGATCGCAGATCCCGACGCAGACTGGGTTTGTCGCCCCTTCAAAATTCTTCTGGGTACCATCGCGGCACTCCGTCAAATTGCTGCAGCGAATGTTGTCCTTACATGTCCGTTCTGAATACCACACATCTGCAAATGCCGAATCGCCCTCTGCGATGCCACCAAGGACGTACATGGTGTTACGGTGATCGACCAGAGCCGTGTGCTCGTACCTCGCTGGCCAGCTCGCCACAGGCGTAACCACCGTCCACGAGGCTCCCGCATCTTCCGACCGCCAGACATCCGCCAAGCGGTCTAAGTCAATCGACAACCCCCCTATGATGAACATGCTGCCAGCGCTGGTCATGGTTGCCGCATGCTGGTAGCGCCCAGACCAACTGGCATACTCTGTGACAAGAAGCCAGTTGTCACCAAGGTCAGTCGACTTCCAAACATCGTTGAAGCACTGAACATGACCGGTCTCCTTCTCCGCATAGAAACCACCAAGCAAGTAAATGACATCCTTGGTATCCACTAAGGCTGCGTGCCCATAACGGGCAGTCCACCATGTTTTCTTCGCCGGCACCTGGTTCCACACCGCTCTTAAGTGGCTGGATATGCCGGGCTGCGACGGGTGGTGGATTCGCCACACGTCGGACAGGTAGCTCGAACCATCGTGTCCACCGAGCACTACGATCCAGCTCTGCGAAGTCATCACGGCTGCATGTCCGTGGCGACCGGACCAGGCAGCCTTGCCGAGAGAGTGCCACACGGAACCGTCTTCTGAGCTCCAACAATCATTCTCCAGCTGCGCGTGCCCTGCAAAGCCTCCCAACACGAAAAAGATGACGCCCTGATGGTCCACCATTGCGGCGTGACCGCGCCTCGCGCTGAAGCGACCTTCTCGCTGAGGTAGCTTCTCCCAAGTTTGGCCCTTATTGGTGCTTTTCCAGACTTCATTGGAAAAGGATCCTCCAGTGGGCCCACCTTTTTCGCCTCCGATCACGAACATGTGTTCCTCGAAGTTCATCACCGCGCCATGTGCGTAAAGGGGGCCGAAGTCTGCACGATCTGTCTTGGCCATCCAAGTGTAGGGGCTTTTGGCCACACCTCTGGCACCCCAGACCTGGACCACGCTTAGGAAACATTGCCAGCAGCCCATGCTATGTGCTTTTCAACTCCTGGACCCTCATATGCAGTCCTACCCGCATTGCGTCTGCTGCCGGCAAGCAACCTTGACTTTAAGGATCGATGAAGCTATGGATGGAAGATTTGCGGACGGTTGTAGCTTCCGTAATCTGGCACTGACCCAGAACCTACATTTGTCGAAAAAGCCGGCGGCAAGCTTGTCTCACAACTCGAAAAACCCCGTCCCCCTGAATCTTGCGCAGGTTTTGTGTTGTCAATTTTCCTGGGAGCAGGGTTCTACTGCGTAGAATGGAAGAGCCTTGTCAAACCTTGGGCTCTCACACGTCGCGCTTCAAGGCAATGCTCCACAAGTCTCCTCTGACTACGACGGGTCGTCCAATCGAGCCATTCACCAGGACGCGTAAAGCTGGCGCTTCAACGCCAATTATATCTCGAAGACACACGTGACGAGCAATAACTACAAGTGCAAATGTACAACCACGGGAAAGCACAGCGAAGCGATCCTCCGGCGTGCTCTGCATGCTCGGGCTTATGCCCAAATTCAGATCCGGCGGGTTGCTGTGCGGAGTCTGGCTACCCGTGCTGCGCCCCAAGACCATGCGTCCTGGCAGCCGAAGCGCTTCCGGGCTTTCGGCTTGCGGAGCGCTTAAGAAGATCCGAAAAAAAGCAGGCTTCAGTCACGCCCCGCACCTGGTGACCGCACATCTCCAATGGGGATGCCTGCGAGGCAGCCATCCTGCAATCGTCACAAGTCCCGTCTGCGTTTTTATCCACGAGTTCTCAAACAAGAAACCACAAACTTTTTCCAAGCATCATCATACACAGGCAAGGGACGTCAAAGAGGCGGTCGGTGGACTTGAAGCATGAAGGCAGCATGGCCACGGTCTCATCACCTTGCACTGGTATAGCGCTGTCGCAGGAGAATCCATGGCCCAGACGTCATGCTTTCACAAGCCCAGATACCAGCGTTAACAGCGTTAGCCTAGTTACGAGTCTGCCACCTTCCGCCAGGCTTCTCAATTTCTGGGTTTCGGTTCGATGTTGATTTGCTCCACTGGTTCTACTGGGAGCTGTTTGAGTCTGACAAGCGTGAAGAAGCTCAAGCGAAGACGTAGAAAATTTCGCAAGAAGCACATGGGATTGGCAAAATGGTGGGCCAGTGAAATGCCAAGTGAGTCATCTGAGCCGATGCATCGAGGCAAGCTGTCTGCGTAGCCATGGCAGCCCAAAAACAAATCCGGTTCTGTGGCCTGCCTATCTGCAAAACAGCGGCATTGGTTCACACTGTACGCGCATGCATGCGACTAAGCCTGGCTGCTCTTTGACAGCACCCGAATTATCAAGATGCTAGATGAGCACTCAAAGCCTTCGCGACGGCTTGGCCAAATGATTCCGCGTCATCCGTGCGATCACAACGCATTTCGACAACCAATGTGAAGCATCGCGTCTCTCTTCCGAACGTGTCACCGAGATCTCCTGGACGATGAGACCACTCTGACATCATCACCGCCAATTCTCGCACCCCACGCAGCTTGCCACTTTGGGCTTCAACCTTGCCAGTTGCAACTGCTTCCATTTCAGGGTCATGCTCATCTTGCCAAGCCAAAGAGGCCAAATGCTCTGCAGCTTCTTTTGGCAAATGATCCTTCTCGCCCAGCCACAAAAACCAGCGTGATGCTAGAAATCGTGTTGACAAGGCCCAGGGACCCTGGGTGGGGTAGGGGCTTGGCCCCAGCTTAAAGCCATTCTCCTCTAAGCAAAGATCCAATGCTCGCTCCAGGGGCTTAGGAGTACCACGCAGATCGCCTGGCAACAGTCTTGCAAGGCCCACGGGAAATTGAGTAGCCCATGGTGTCGAATGAACTACAGCAGCTTGGGCCCTTCGAACTGGGCGACCACCACTTTCTCGATCATACGTTGACCCCAAGTCTCCATAGCTATGGATTTCAACAAACCCTCTCCGTTCTGCGGCCGCGGCTTGGATTGTTGACAAGGCAGCCCTGTACCACTTCTCAAGGGCATCGTTGCCGTCCGGGTGAATGTGCTCCGCTGCCCAACTGCTGAGTGCACCCTTGCCAAAAAGCGTCCTTCGATAGACGTCCAAAGACTTGCGACTACAGCTGCACGACTGCAACCTGTGAACACCGCGCTGTCGAGTTAGAGCACCGCTACCTTGCTTAAGCTGACATTACCAGTCTCAATTTGATGCAAGCCGCTCTGTCTTTTCTGTCCGCCCTCGCCAGCCGCGGTTTAAATCCATGAGGCCACGGGGAAGGCGGGGCCGGAAACCCGGGGCCGCAAGTTTCGAAACAGCCACTTCAAAAGCTTCGCCGCTGCCTTCATCGTGCCATTCCTGGGCTGTCGCTGACTGCCCCAGGTCAGGCCAATAAACAAACTAATACACTAATACATTCTGCACCATGAGCCAACGAGCAACGTTCATTTCCTCTGTCACCTCGTCCTTGTTGTGCGGCCACGCAGCGATGAATGGCCTGTCAGTGTTGTTCATGTTGAAAGCCGCACTGCTGCTGCAAAGACCGTACTCCACACCTGCGAGTTGTCGGAGAATCCTGTGTCCCTACTAGAAGCGAGCTCAGACCACCTCAAGCCATGCAACGCTTGGCAAGCGACAGGTTGCTAACCGTCAGTCGGAGATGGTGACTGGGCACAGCCCTTGCAGACCCGTTCTTGAAGAACATACTGCTCCCCTACAAGGTCCGAACAGAATTGAAGTGAAACCAGAACTCGATTGTATCCGAGCTCGTGCGATCAGCCTTGCAGAATGCTTGAACCCAAAGTGTTAAAAACCTTCGGCAGGGGACCCAGCGTTGTCCGCGGGCACTGTTGCGTGAGGCGCAATCAGCAACACATCAGCGTCACCACTGCCACGACAATCCAAGGGGGGCACGGGCTGTGGAAAGGCCATGGCTGCACAACGAGGAACTTTACTTGAAACTGACAAAGCCGTGCACGTGGAGACATGATGCTGGTGGTGGTGGTGATGATGTCGTATAGCCTTCTGAGTCTGCTACTCTCCCTTCTACTACGATCCCGCATCATGCAAAGCAGCCAGCCGATACGGTGAATCCAGCAAGTCGGGGACTTTGGTTCAGGGTGGTCTCTGTCAGATTCCTGACAAACTCACAACGCCCTGTGGCCACAAGTCCGGTCCCCGCCCATCTTTGGCCCTAGGCCCTAGCATCTTTGCGCTATTCGACATCGCATTCTTAAGTGTGCGATATAAGATGATATAAGCGTTGTGGTGACTTACATGGCAAGATGAGTAGTGAGACTTCTCGATTTTTGTCTCACCTCCAGGCGCACTTCTTCGCGACCTGGTGTTGCGCACCCTCTCCCCTAAAGGAGCACAATGTCCCAAGCATTGCGCATCGCAATCCTAGTGCGGAAAGGCTTTCTGGAATCTGCGAACACGAACAAGACTGACCGTAGAATGGTCTCTGTTAGAACACGCCTTTACATCTGAGCAGCACGGAAAGCTCCAGAACCTGCCTTCCAATGCCCCCTACATTGCCTACATTTACACTCAATTAAAGTTAAAATCTGCAGGTCTCTGCAAAGCCATCGCCTGGCCGAGGTTTTCTGTTTAAGGCAACGGACTTCTGGTGATGCCGATCCTCGTGTGTTGTTGGTAGTAGAAGCAGCCCGTTGTGCATGATTTTCGTGGGAGGCCTGATACAATGACATGATGCAGAACCTGCTGTCTATCCTGGTCAACCCTTCTCTAGGTTCGTGCCGCGGCTGACTATCTTCAACTTCTACTGATTGGTGCACGGCGGCAAGAGCCGTGCTCGCGACTCGCGAGTCGACCACAAGACAGAGAGCAAGAGAAGGGAAACAAGCTGCAATGCCAGCGGCTCATTGACCTCGAGAGCATGCTGAGGTTTCTTGGCTTGCAACAGAACAGGCGTGCCACTTCTTGCCAATATGGGTTTGGGTTCATGGCCAATATGGGTTTTTGTTTGCTTCGGGACTCCATGGATTGGTTTGGGTTCATGCATTGCTGTGAGCTGCAAACTCAACGCACAATCACCAACTGGCAAATCCTTCTCAAATCTTTGGGATGAACAGCCGCTGCGCCCTTTTGGCCCTGAAGCACGAACCTTCAAAGCCTCAAAGAATCCCTTGCATTGGGGCCTCGTACCTGTGCCCTCACGTTCTGAGGCACAGACCCTGGGCTCAAACCACGGCCGCTGCGCGCAACGTCGGCTCCAAGGCCCCCGCGCCTGGGCCTCGGCTGAAAGCAGGAGAAGCATCGGATGAAGAGCTGAAAGAATGAAGAGGGTCCTGTTTTTTGCCAATGCGAGGACATCATTTTTCGCTTTGACAGCAAGCCGCAGTCCAAGTCCGCGCACTGTAAGGGTACCTTCACAGGCACCACCCCGAAGTGGACTTCAGCGATCGGCGGTTCTAGTTGCAACCTCCAGCATGCGCAAGCAGCACGAGTTCTCGGTCCTGGATTCTAGATCTGGCTACCGCAAGACGCAAGACGAAGACGTGACGAAACCGGCCGTCGACACAGCCCGTTCGCTTGAACATGACAGGGCTTCTGGCCTCTGCGGCTGTTTACAACGGGGAGATACTCTGCAAAGCACCCGCACTGATTGAGAATGGCAGCTGGTGTTGCAAGGACTGACGGTGCGGAACGTAGGCTGAAGGCGTGGGAGCACTATCGCCACACGGCTAAGCTGATCCATAATGGGATGTCTGGAAAGCCGCAGCACATCAACTCAAAGCCGCTGTACAGCAAGCTGGCATTTCTTTACTCTTCCCTGTAACACCATCTGCCGAATTGGTGCACCTCTCTGCTGCAGATGACCATACGATCACAAATCGCCGATTCTCGATCTCGGCAGCAGAAACAGGCGCAGCACGTGCCCATGTTCTGAAAAGAAGAAGCACCTCATGCGTTTGGAAGTAGAAGGCCCGTGTAGCCTCCAGTCCATCCAAAGGGCTACCCTTAACTTAAACTTGCATCTACAGCCTTGCGACTTTACAGCTGTAGCAGGCTGCAGGCACACAGCTTCTTCTGCCTGCAGCCACGAGCTGTAGCCTTGCAGCTGGCGAGCATCCGGTGTGTTTCTTATCGTTATACTGCAGCATGTCTTTGCCTAAATCCTGTTTGGACAGCGGATGTGCAAGCTGCGAATCTTGCATTGGATGCACGTTCGCGTCGATGAATTCGGACGTGCAAAGGCATTGAAGAGAACGGAGCGCCTGCTTTTCAAGCGCCTCACGGCTTCTAGACGTGGCGGTCAATCGGCTTTTTGCGGCATGAGCCACTTGCTGCGAGCATCAAAAACGAGCCTATTGGGGCCGGTATACAGACTATATAACCGTCCCACAACCCTTCCAGTACGGACAAACAGTGTGATGCCGCTGCCTGTCCGGGCCAAGGTTCTAAAGCCTCGGCACCCAGTGAAACCTGGAGTAACTGATTTTCTGCAGCCGGTGGCAGCGACTCAGGATTCCTTGCCTGAGGCGTCCCTGCTCGAATCCGTGCGCGACAACAGGTGCCGGAGCTGCACAAAGGAGCCATGTCATGTCAGCAGGTGCCGCAGGACTTCGGGCACGCCTGGGCTCTGGGACCATGCTTTTGGCGCAGCATGCAGCCAATTTGCACATGCGAGTGTGCGAGACAGTAATTAACCGTATGCTTCAGATCAAAACGCTGATAAAGTCATCCATGGTTGTTACTTGGCAAGCCTCACCGTCGCCCAAGGCATGTATTGGTGCGAGAGGCAACACGAGGCATGTTGCTTTTCCGAGCTTCGATTGATCCGAGAAGTCTCTGCGAGGATAGTATGGCTGCGCCCTAGGCGGGCCATACGCACGAATAGTCATACACCTGGCTATTCTCCTGTGTGGGCTTCGGGTTGGTTCCCTCCCTCGCCTTGTGAGAGGATACCATTTGGGCGGGAGGCGGGGGGAAGGAGAGAGGGGGCGCAGAACGCAGCGCACAACCATATATTCGCAGCGTGTATGCTGCCGATCGTGAGCTTTTCCAGGGCTTCTAGCCTTTCGTAAGTAGACCAAATCTGCCAAAGCTCCTTGAGCAGCTCATCCTTGAACAAATACGCACCTGAGCAGCTAAGGCAAGCGGCAAGAAGACCTGCGAGGTTCTGCAAGAGAGAACAGCGCAGCCGCGGAGCATTGAAGCATGTCAGACTGAAAAACCCACCGTGGTCCTCATGGAGGGCCCCAAATCAGAAACCGAGTACCGAACCTGCAAGAAACCTTCGACCAAACCCTTTCCACCACATGACCTGGCAGAAAGACTGAACATCCGAGCAAGTGGCTGCAGTTTCTTGAACTGAACCAGCTGCACAGCCAGTTGAAGGTGCCCCTCGCGATGCCCGCTCCGAAGGCTATGTTACAGAGATGACTCCATGGAGCCTATAGACATCCGCCAATCAATCTGAAGCTATGCCATGTCTTCGTGATGTGGGCGACTAGGATCGCGGCATGTGTTGGGATTGAAGATGCACAGGACGACGCCAAAAACACTTGCCGTGAGGATACGTACACTGCAGCCGGACACGACGGCCAAACCGGTTTGGATTGCTCGACAACATCAGGTTTCCGGCCCTGCTGTGGCAGATTTGTGAGGAATGCAAGCGCCCAATCAACAGCTCTCAAACCCAAACGCATTCATGCAGAAGCCTGTGGAAGCCCTTACTCCTTCACCACAGTGAACAGCCACGGCATATGGGTGCAACCGTGCCTGTACAACGGGTCGTCCTCGCAGCTACCGACCTGTACTGGATATGCACCAACCAACCAACCAACCAACCAACCAACCAACCAGTCGGGTATAGCCAAACAACAGCGACATAGAATAGCAGCGGCGGTGGTGGCGGCAGCGGTGGCGGTGGGGTGGTGGTGGTAGTGTTGCGTCGTCAGTCGTCATCGTACTCCTGCAGTGGTGGTCGTGGTCGTGGTGGTGCAGCTGTAGCTGAGCAGAAGGAGCAGCAGCAGTAGTAGCAGCAGCAGCAGTCAGCAGCCGTAGCCGTAGCCGCAGCAAAGCATTGGCGGTAGCAGTCGCAGTAGCACTCCAGACTACCAGCGCACTAATATTTCAGCAGTAGTTGCAGAGCAGCAGCAGCAGCAGCAGCAGCAGCAGCAGCAGCAGTATGAGTTAGGAGTAGGAGTAGCAGGAGCTCGAGTGGTAGTAGTCGGAGCAGGGACAGGAGCAGGAGTGGGCAGTTGTCGTAGTAGCAGCAGTGGCAGCGGTAGGAGGAGCCGTGGGGACCATCGGGCAGCGGTAGTTGTAGTTGTTGCAGGACTGACTGCACACTCAACCGCTCCCTGTCCAGCACCATGAACTACACTATATCTATCTATACATGTTAATCCAAGAAGCAGCTCCCGACGTGAGGGTCTTTGCTGGCGTGCATCCGCCGCCACCTGGCAGACCGCCAGCTTCGGGATGCAAAGGCGACCCAGTGCCGTGGCGTTGGACTCTGCATGGACTTTGATTCATGTACAAAACCCAGGGCCTGCAGCAAGGGAGACAGACAGACAGAGCCAGGGACAATCACACAACGATTCCATCCAGTGGCACGTAGACAGCACGCCGTGCATGTAATTATCTAGCACCTACATATAAATTTGATTTCAGTCGGGATCAGGAGTGCTCAGCACTCAGGATGCGAACCTATCGTGCGAGTGCAGAAGCTTCTTCGGGCAAGGTGCATGTCTGCCGGCATGCTCGATGCACCAGCTCGTTGTCACAATCCTCCACGCCGTACTGGGCGCAGGTTTTCCCCTCCTCAGAAAACCATGCCCAAGACTCCCTGAAACCCGGCAGGCCCATGTCCCAGTCTTAGTCGTGATTGCAGGTTCGAGTCTGTGTTCCACCACATCCCAGGGATGTCAACACAGTCCTGAGCCAGAGTTTGAACAAAA